CTGGATACTGACCCCAGTGGCTCCCACGTGCTAGGCAAGGACTACCCCTAGCCAAGACTTTTGTTGTTGTTTTGTTTTGTTTTGTTTTGTTTTGTTGGAACTGGAAATTGAACCCAGGGGCACTTGACCACTGAGCCACATCCCCAGACTTTTTAAATTTTTTATTTTAAGACAAGGTCTCGCTAAGTTGCTTAGGCTCTCACTAAATTGCTGAGGCTGACCTTAAACTTGTGATCCTTCTACCTCAGCCTCCCAAGTCGCTGGGATTATAGGGGTGCATCACCATGGCCTGGCAAGACTTGTTTTTAAGAAATAAAACATGGATGTTGGTGGAGATAGTTGTACCACAATTACAAATAATTTGGCAATGTCTTGCATAAAGATATGCATGTCCTATGGCCTAGCAATTCCTTCCATTAAATTTTCTTCCAGTATTATATTTATTGAACAAAGATGGTATGGGTTTTTTTCAGCTCATCTTTTTCTAAAAATCTACAGAAAATTTTGGGAAAAAATATTAAACATTAAAAGAATGTTTTCTCTGTAGTTATCAGTTGTAAATAGTTTGCTACATTCACTTATTTTCATATCTGGTGTTTTGGTTTTTTTATGAACTATTGGAAAGTAAGTTACAGACATCTGATCCATATCACCTAAATACTTTTCAGACACTTCTTTTTTTTTTTTTTTTTTTTGGGGGGTGGTGCTGGGGATTGAACCCAGGCCTTGTACATGTGATGGCAAGCACTCTACCAACTGAGCTATGTCCCCAGCCCCTTCAGACACTTTTTCTAAGAATGGTATTTTCTTATATAATTACCCTATTATTGTGCCCAAGAAAATTAGTATTAGTTATATAATATTTATATAAAGTATATATTCATATTTTTATAGCTATCCCCAAGATATTCTTTACTGTTTGTATGTATATGTGGGTTGTGACATTGTCAAGATTTACTTGGGGGCTGGGGTTGTGGCTCAGTGGTAAGTGCTCACCTAGCATGTGTGAGGCACTGGGTTCGATCCTCAGCACCACATAAAAATAAAATAAAGATATTGTGTCTACCCAAAACGAAAAAATATATACATAAAAAAGATTTACCTGGTTGGTAGAGCTTTTTAGTCTTCGCATTTGGTTATCCTAGCTCTATGGTCTTTTTTCCATCTTGAACAAACTCCTTTTTGGTATACTTTTATTTTTTCAGGTTGAGTTTCTTTTCATATTTTATCTTCCTGAATATATTTTGATTCTTCCCTTTCACATCTTTAAGAAGGATCCAGTCCAAAGGCCTGAGTTGCCTTCCTGCCCCATCTGTATACGACTGTAGAGTACCTAGATGGGAGCCCTAATTATTTCTTCTTCCTCATCATCTTGCAAAATCAGAGTGTGTTGGGGTTTTCTTACTGATGTGAGGGAGAGAATGGTTTTTGTGATTGTGTTCTCCTGAGTTTCTTCTTGCCCAGAGTTAAATTGCTGCAGGAAGTCCCTAACATAGGAATAGGTGGTTTCAAGAGTGACTTATTTAAAGAGTGGCAAAATATTGCTGAGCACAGTGGCATATGCCTGAAATCCCAGTGGCTCAGGAGGCTGAGGCAGGAGGATTGTGAGTTCAGAGCCAGCCTCAGCAAAAGTAAGGTGCTAAGCAACCCAGTGAGACCCTGTCTCTAAATAAAATACAAAATAGGGCCGAGGATGTGGCTCAGTAGTCGAGTGCCCCTGAGCTCAATCCCTGGTACCCAAAAAAAAAAAGTGTCAAAATATTGACATTTATAGGAACTGAGTGATAGTTACATGACATCAGTTTATTTTACTCAACCTCTCTTTTTTGTGTATGCATGAAATGTCATGAGATTCTTTAAAAATAGGTCAGTAGCTAAAACTTGAAAAGTGCTTTTTTCTTTTCTTCTTTGGCTTTTTATATTTTAAATGGTTTCATTCCCAAGCTGGTCTTCCTAGTCCGTGGCAAGCTGAACCACTGCGCATGGAGCATCCTTTCCCTAACAGCCTTAGTCCTCGGAGGAAGGTACTCAGGCCAGAGGGCGGTTAGCAGTTTGTGTCCCTGTGGTGCCTGGCAGCGTGGGTGCGGAGGAAGCTGGTGTCAGTGTGCATGGGTTGGCTGGAAAGTTGAGCAGCGGAGTGGAGTAGCAGATTGTCACAGCCCAGAAAGCCTGGAGACTGGTCAACCCATTGTTTATAGATGAAGAAATTTAAAGGCAGTGGATATTAGAAGCAGGGAGTCTGGTGGGGTTCACTGGCTCACCACACACGTATTCCTCCTTCTCTTCCTACCTCAGGACTGCACGTGTGAGGAATTCTGCCCTGAGTGCTCGGTGGAGTTCACCCTGGACGTGAGGTGCAATGAAGACCAGACGCGGCATGTCACATCCCGAGATCTCATCTCCAACAGCCCCCGGGTCATTCCGGTCAGTGCCTGAGCCCATCCTCCCTCCCCAGGGTTTTGTTCTTGTGATGGCTCCACATGGGCCAGGTTGGAGTGGATCCTAGCGAGTCATTGACCTTCCTGTGCCCTGTCTTCTTTAACCTGACGCCTGGAAGTGCTGATTCTGGATTCTTAGACAGAACAGGATAGGTGCCTTGTGCCCTGTCACCTGAGGAACCTGTAAAGGCCATGGGATTATTTTGACTAAACGGTATCACAGGAGCATAAACTGGAGTGGAATCCCTGGGGGCACATCTGCCACCACTTTCTCAGGCGTCATTTCCCTGCTTGACAGATTGTAGGCTGGAGGTGCTGGGAGATGGCTGCCAGAGGGGCACCTGGCGGGGGACAGGCTAATAGATGCTTCTGTTTGGGCTCCAACGCAGGTGACATCCCGGAACCGAGATAATGACCCCAACGACTACGTGGAGCAGGATGGTAAGGGGCTGGAGGAGTGTGCAAACATTTTCCTGAGCTGTCACCACATGGGCCAGAGGGGCAGGCCAGATGCAGCCTCTCATGTCACCAGGTCTCCTTGTGACTTGGTTCTGTTTTTTCTGTGTGTGTGTGTGTGTGTGTGTGTGTTTTGTTCTGATCCCACTCCAGGCCAAATTTACCTCTCCTGGTCCTTGACTGACTCACATGTCTCCTTGCAGACATCCTCATTGTCAAGCTGAGAAAGGGCCAGGAGCTGAGGCTTCGAGCCTATGCCAAAAAGGGCTTTGGCAAGGAACATGCCAAGTGGAACCCCACTGCAGGGGTGGCTTTTGAATATGATCCCGACAATGCCCTGAGGCACACAGTATACCCCAAGCCTGAGGAATGGTATGTTCCTTTCAGAAGTGAAGGTGGGCATTTAGGGCTAGAGCCGGGGTGGACACAACTGCTAGTGAGCGAGAGAGGGTTGGCTGGCTGTGAACGTCAAAGAGCAAAAGCAGCTGCCTTATTGACCTGTGTTTGACCTCAGGCCAAAGAGTGAATATTCAGAGCTGGATGAGGACGAGTCACAGGCTCCCTATGACCCCAATGGCAAGCCAGAAAGGTAAGACCCTGGTCCTTTCTGGGATGTGGGTACAGACTGAGTTAGGCAGTCCCGCCCGCTCCCTCACATCATAGTTCCCATAGCTGAGGGAGGCCCCAGCTGCCCAATAGCCTGTGATATGTGCACATCCCAAGCCCTTTTTGGTAACCATGAGAAAGAGGATCTCTCCGCTGACTCAAGCTGTTCCTATTCTGCCTTGAGCTTCCAAAGAAAAGGCTGTGCAGGTCCAAGTTCAAGGCAGAAACTGGCCACAGTGCTACAGTGCAGAATATGTGGGGCTGTAGCAGATTCACTGCTTATTTGATTTTCCACTTTTTCCGCAGTGTAGAACATACATGGTTGTTTTGGGAGTCTCACAATGCATCTTGAAGTAACATTAGCCTCCTTGAGGGCCTGCAAAGAGTTTGGACCACTCTGCATAAGAGGTTTTAGATGAAGGGAGGTCAGCCAGTGCTAAAGTCAAGTTCCTTACAGGAACAAAGTCAAGACTCAGAGGAAGGGTAGTCCCTGGCCGAGATGGGGCGGGCTGGCCAGCCTGCATCCAAGGCTCTCACTGGATTCTTGCTTTTTAGGTTTTACTACAACGTGGAATCCTGTGGTTCTCTGCGCCCTGAAACCATTGTTCTCTCAGCTCTCTCTGGATTAAAGAAGAAGCTGAGTGATTTACAGACTCAGTTAAGCCACGAGATCCAAAGTGATGTGCTGACCATAAACTAGCTTCAGCTCACCTATTTCAGCAAAAGTGGGGATTCCAGAGAGTAGTTGGGTTTCAGGTCTTTGACACCTTCTGGTTTGGGGTCTCTGGACTGCTATTCAAGCCTCATGACAGGCCATCAGTGCCAGCCAGAGGGGGGCTGCAGATTACCAGGGATGCCATTGGAATTTAGGGTAGGACAGTTTTTACTAGACAGTTAGCATGCCTGGCCCTATTTGTTAAGGCCCAGTGGTATTCCCCAGCACCCAGAACATCCCTCCCATCCCATTTCCTAGCACCCCAGTAGGGGGCATACTGCTTCCCCTCTGAGAACCACTGAGCGGGACTCCTCCTGGTCATTCCAGCTCATTAATACCCTTTCCATCTAAAAGGAAGGGATTTTCACAGCTGGAGCTTAGGTTTTCGGTGTTAGGATTGAGTGCTAGAACCTTCATTTAGGCAGGTGATAAATGGTCCTGGCTCTTTCCCCAGAGCCAGGCTACTGGCACCTCAAATTTCTGGGTGTTCCTAATTTGGAAAGTAATCCTTTAGGATAGACTCTGGCTGTCCCCTCCCTCCACAATAAACATGCTGTTTGAACGCCTTCCCCTCCAACAGCCTGATCCTTTTGCTTGGTGTGGGGGACCGCAGAAGCAAAGGCCCCTTCCACCTGTTTCATTTCTCCTTAATGAAGGTTCTGGCCCTGGCCCCTTAGCGCTGTCTTCAGGTAGGAGCTTACCCAAAGCAGTTAATGAGGCAGCCTGGAGAAAACCAGAGTTCAGTCTAGAAAGGAAGGGGTATTTATTGATTAGCAGTAGTTGTCTTTTTTAAAAGTTTTTATTTTTGGCAATAAAGAGTACAACATAATCTCCTTCATGCGTCATCGTGCCACTAGCTGAGCCAGCCAGCTTTACCACCAGACCCAGTCCTGTGGACCCCAGTTCCCGCTGCAGACTAGCTTACTCTGGGTGGTCATTCCCTGGGTCACATCAGAGCTGAGCTGGCTATGCCACCTCCCTGTCTCTAGGGCTCCTTTGGGAGGGGTCTTCTTGCTTTAGCATTCTCCTGCCACAAACGTAATAGTGGTTATTTACAAGAAGGTCTGTTCCCACAAATCCGAACCCTAAAGTATTAAAAAACAATAAACAAAAACCACGCAACCAAAGGTTTGATGTGAATAGAAAGATAGCCCTTCTGCAACGGTAGTCAATAAATACCAGCACTAGAAAATCAATTGCTTTAATTGCATTTCAGCAGGGAGCCTCAGCACCATGTGGGGAAGAGAAATGGGGAGGTGGTGGTTTGAGTGCTCTGGCATAGGTGGCCAAACCCATGGCAGAGGGTCTCCCTCTCCTGGGGCACTGTACCCCAGTCAATGAGAGGGCAGCAGGGGTGCTCCCCACAGCAGTCCTGCCGCAGCCATCTGGCCTGGCCTGGCCCTGGGGCAGGAACGGGCCCCAGCCATCCTCCACCTGGCTGAGGTAATAAGCACCCCTACCCTGAGGACCACTTCTCATCCTGCTAAGCAGGAAGGAGCCTGTGCAGAAATTACATTTTAAAACCAGATTTTTCACCTGAGGCATCAACCAGATGTCACCTCTGCTTAAAACTCCAAGTGCAAGGCTGCTAAGTGGCATTCTGGAAGTTCGGATCCTTCCTGTGCCACTACAGGCCCAAAGGAACAGAGAAGCCACCTGCTGTCTTGGCCACTAGGCTGCTTGGGAAAAGTCAGCAAGCATTGCCAGCCTTGAGTTCTGATTGTCCCCCTCCTCTGGCCCTGGCAATTCAAGCAGGTCCTGGCAGCAGGAGGGCTGTACCACAAAGGACAGGCAAACAGCTGCCCTCATAATCTTTATAACAGCCTTGACCATGGCCTGGTCATGGGATTAAAAATGTATGTGTTGGCGGGAAGGGACAGGGGGGAAAATCTTAATATAGAATATGTCATAAGCCATAAATATTAAAATCATCAACAGGATATAGTCCATGGTGGCTCCGGCCCCTCACATGCTCAGGCAGTGTGGCCAGCGCTTTGCCTTGGTCCAGCCTCACCCTCGGGGGCAGGGAGGGAACAGCTTGCTCCCTTTCTCCAGGTCTTGGCCAATAGCCTCTTGAGGCCATCCACAGTAGGCTGTAGTCTGTCCTGCAACAGGCAGCCCCCAACAGTCATTGGTGCCTGCCAGCCCTGCTGTCACTGGGAAGGGGTCTTTGCCTCGCTGCTGTCCCCCTGGCTGGGCTTTGGCTTTAGCAGGATGAATCTGTCGAGAAGGTCCGTTTCTGAGCTGGCCTGGGCTGCCCCGTACCCCTCACCTGTGGGTATAGAAACTGGCTCAGAACTCAGATCCAGGTCACAAGATGTGCCCTCCATGGGGGTGGGGCACAGAAGCAACTCACCGGCATAGCTGGAGGCTTCGGCTATGTTCTGGGAACCCGTGATGTGGTGCCAGTAGGCACTGCGGGGCAGCATGGTAGTGGGTGTGCAGGGATACGAGTAGTGTTCAGTGCCCTTGTTCAGCAGCTGAGGGGCAGAGGGGTCCCTTCCGTCAGCTCTGCAGGCAGTAGCTTGCTCTATCCCTGAGTAGCCAGCCCAAGACCCTGCCTGTTGACTGTGCACACCCGGCTAGAGACTTGGCTGGCAGACCCCAGGCACTCAGGCCTGCCCACCCCTGCCACCAGCCTCCCCTGCCCCCAGCCTCCCCTGCACCTGGGGCTGATACCCACTGCCTCACCCTCACATTCTTCTCCATCTCCAGCAGGACCCGCTTGTGCTGTTCGGCGATGGCCAGGGTGGCACTGTGGACCCGCTGGTATATCTGCTCCCCCTCCTGTGTCTGAAAGGTGTAGAGCCCTTCCCCAGCGTCACACATCCTGAGGACACAGGTGGCAAGGTGGTGGAGACCCTGTGCTTTCTCAGGCTCTCCTGCATGCCAGTGGTGGCCGCACCGGGGCCCTCTGGGAAGCAGGGGACTCTGCTCCCAGAGCCTGGCCACATAGCACACATGTGCCATTTTCTGTGTGCCAGCTGGAGGTCTAAATGCTTCACAGAATTAATCCATTCTGTTTCCCCACCACCACCCTCTGGTCTTCCCTCTTAATAGTTCCTCATTTTGTGTTTCCTTAAATGGTTTTTACAGATGAGGAAACTGAAGCATATAGAAGCTGAATAACAACCAAGATGATGCAGAGGATCATACAGAATTTTGGGGGTTCCAGTCTGGGGCTACTCCAGCCTCACTATAATTTTATGAAGTTAGGTACTTTACTATCCCAGGAGACAGATGAGGAAGCCAGGACCCAAGTGCACGATCACAAGTAAGTGCCGGTGCCAGCACTGGATCTGAGCCCAAGCAGTTAGACCTCTGGTACAGAGCCTCGCCTGCCCTGCCTGCCCTGGGTGAGTTGCTTCTCTGAGCCTCAACTTCTTCATCTGCATAATGGGAAATCACACTCCCCTTTGGATTGTTATGCTGATAAGTAAACAAGGTCCTAGCACAGTGCCTGAGGCAGAAGAGCTCTATCATGACGATGGTGGTGCAGGATGGGGAGGCAAGAGGGTCCTACCGGCCAGCCTCGAAGGTAAAGCGTGTGGCATCCCGGCCATAGCGGCGCAACGAGCAGAGGGGCCACGAGACGAGCTTCACGCGGGGGTTGTGTGTGTCCCAGAGGTAGATGTTTTCGTGGGTGATCTGCAGCTTGCACTCGCCGTACACATCGAGGTTGGGGCAGGGCAACAGGAAGACGTTGAAGCGATCTGCAGCAGGAGAGGCAAGTGGCCTGGAGCTGCCATGGGAGGTGCCTCCTGCCGCCTGCCCCCACCCCCCAGGGCCAGGGCTCACCTGTCTGCTCGCACTGCACCCCTGGGGCCAGGAGGTCAGGCTCTCCCAGACTGATGTCATTGAGCCGTGACCCCAGACACTCCACAGACAGTGTCTTGTACCATTCTTCTGCCTCCAGCTCTAGAGAAAATGGCACCTCTTCATGCTGCGGCTCAGGGTCTCCAGCAGCCCACCCCATCCGCCTTGACCCTCAGTTACCCAACCTTGCAAGGCAAGGAGGGCAAGGCCATGCCCCCTGTCTGCCCGCCTGTCCCTCAGACACCCACACCACCACACCCCCTCTCCGCCTCTTGGCCGAACCACTGACCACGACCACTCCAGGGAGCCTAGAGGAGCCTGCGGCCTGGGACCTCACCTGAGTCGCAGGTGAAGGTGCGCGCGGAGTCGTCGGTGAATATGATGGCCACTGCCTGCCTCTTGGTCTCCTTGGGGAGCCGTGTGACACACTTCACATTGCTGATCTCTGTCACCTAGGATGGCATCCATAGGGACTTACCAGGCTGGAGCACCTCCCTCTGCTTCCCCACAGCACTCCCCTACCCCTGCCCCCACCGCCTGGAGGATGTCCTTGGACCTCCCAACAGTAGGTCATCTCTGCTCACGGGAGCGGGGAGCTAGGCCCTGGCCCCTCACCTTAGGGCAGCCTCTGAGGCACACGGACTTCTCATCCGGATACTTCTCCAGCCGCTGGGGCCCCTTGCTGGAGGATTTCCGGAACACCAGCCAGCACCTCCGGTAGATCTGGGGGGAAGACCACAGGGGATCAGGCCTCCCAGCCCCTCCACCAGCCAGTGCAGCTGCAATTCCCCTCCCTGCTGCAGGGGGCAGTGCCGCACTGCCCTGCCTGCAGCCTCAGCCTGGAGAAAACCTGGAAGGTAGAAACTGGTGTGACACCTCCCTGGGGAGAGGCTTCCTCCCCAAATAGCAAAAACAGCCATTCTCTCCTGGCTCTGGAAGGCTCTTCCACCATTTACTATGAGCACAGCTCTGAGCTGATGTGGGGGCCAGCATTTCCGAGTGGTTCCTGTTTATACATTTTGTATTAGCGCTTCCCAGTTTCAGAGTCACTCCCAAGACAGTTCTATTACCCCATTTTACAGGTGGGAAAAGTGAGGCACGACAAAGTCTCATCTGGTAAATGGTGGTGCTGGTTGAAAGCAGGCTGTGGAGACCCAGAGCCTCCCATCGTAGCCACTGCACAGGCCATTGCTGCCAGGGCTCCAGCCACATGGTCTCCAAAGACAGGGAGACCCTGGTCAAACTGCCCTGGTCCTGTTCCCAGAGCCAGGCCAGGCTCTTGGTGTTGGTGCCACCATTCTTGTCTGCAAAAGTTTTCCCTCACCCTCTTCTCATCCTGATACCAACCCTGGAAGATAAGGAGTCAGGGTTACATCCCTGCTCCCCAGGGAACCAGAGGCCCCAGGAGGTGAAGGTGCAGAGCTAATCCAGTGGTGCCCCCATCATGCTGCCTTCCCCACACGGCTTCCTCCCTGTCCCACCACTGCCAATGCCCTGTGTCCCACTCCCCCTAAATCCTCCAGAGCTTTAGAAACTCCTCCCAAGGGGCAGGAGAGGGGCTGACCATTCTCCAGGGTTAAAGGGACAAACTGACCTACCAGACACCTTGAGGGGTGACCACAGCCACCTACATGAGCTACTGAATGGACTTGTCTTCCAGGGGCCCCTCCCCCATGGGACGGAGCTCTGCCTGGGACACCTGCTCCTTCCAACAGGTCCAGAAGCCTGACAGGCCTGTTCCCCGGGCATCCCTGATGCCGCTCTCACTGGCAAACAGAAAGGACCTACAGGGTGTCCCAGTGCAAAGCAGGGGAGGCCAGCGGGGGGCCTGGGCCACAAACCCAAGGCCCTGCCCCTTCCCTAGCCATAATCAGTCATGGATGCATCAGAGACTTGGCAGGCAGGGTCACAGTGGGCCTAGGTAGTCCCCAGAAAGTGCCTAGAGCCCGGTCATTTCTGGCTCCTGCCCAGGACACTTGAAGGCATGAGTGCCCCTGCACGCTGACCCTGGCTCAGCCCCTGGCCCATCCACCTAGCACAGCACCCTGAGCATCTAGCTGCAAGGCTCCTTTAGGGTAGAAATTGTTTTATTCTAAGAATCCTCACTCAAATCCTGGTGCCTCCTTCCCAGAGCTGCTGAGCAAGAGGATGACCACAAGAAGGGACAGTGGATGGACAGCGAGTGCATGCTGCTGGCCCTGATACACCCTGCCAGGCTGGGCCCCACGCAACCTGCAGCACCAGGGGCAGCAGCCCGAGGCCTGAGCACCCTGGTTGCCTGGTTACAGGATACACACTCACACCGCCCCAGGGAGCCTGACTCGAGAGCTCCTTCCCACTTCTCCCAGGCCTTTGATCAGCGCTTCAGAAGCACTCTGCCACAGCTCTGCCGGGGAGGGAGGCCCGGTAGGTAGTGGGGTGGGCTCCCAGCCCCTCCAGCGTCTCTGCCTCACCTCTGCAGGCTGACACTGGGGGAGTGAGGCTCAGGTCTGCAGAGGGAAGCTGAATTCATGGAAAGGAGTAACCCAAACACCTGGCCACACCCCACTTCCCAGCCCCTCTCCCTGGCGGTGCCTACCTGTCCACTTGGGTTCCAAGGGGCCCTTTTGGAACAGGTCGGATACTGAGCCCAAGTGGCCGCCCTAAGGCCAGCACCTTCTGGGCAAGCTCTGCCCTAGACAGGCTTCAGCCCAGCTGGCCCCTGGGGACTGCAAGGTCCAGGCCATAGGAATGAGGAGTGGGTTTAAAGCTGGGTTCCACCTCCCTGGCCTCCCCACCCGGGCCTCAGCCTCTTTGTTCTGTGCTTGAAGTCAGTGACTGAATCCCTGTCTAGGGAGAGCACAGGGGTCCACGCTGCCAGGGCTGTCCTCACCAGGCTGCACTCGGAGTTGGGCTACAAATTCAAATCATGCCACCAGCTCTGCCCTGCAGGACCAAGGGCCCACCTGATGGCAGCGAGGACACTGGCCCAGCACATAACACAGCCCTGAAAGGCCCAGGAGGGGAAGAAGGGCTGCTACGCCCCTCCCCAAGGGCATCCCTTCCCACCTGGTACCCAGGCTGGAAAGCAGGTGCCACATCCTTGGCCCCTCCTCATCCTCCGCCCCACTCAGGCTGAACTGGGAGCCCTGGAGCTTCCTGGAGTCCAGGCACTGGGGGCGGGAAGGAGGAAAGGACCCGAGTCCTGAGGAGAACAGACTCAGTGACTAGGGTCACCAGGGCTTTCCTTCCTGCTGGGGAGGGGCAGCTGCCAGCCCCTTCACTGGAGGTGGGGAAGGGTCTGCAGGGGAGCAAAGGCAGCTCTTGGACTCACCAAGATCATTCAGTGGGTCCCTGGGGGCCCTGCTCATGCCTTCTAGGGGATCTTCCCCAGCCGGGTCTCAAGGCTCGGGGGAACTGGTGCACGTCCTAGAAGCCTCATCTGCCGCCCTCCAAGCCCACCACCAACTCCTACCATAAGTTCTCAAGTACAGGCCAGGTAAGTGCCAGCTCTGCCCCTCGCTCTCCTGGCCGAGTTCCCCCAAAGCACTCTTCTTTCCAAACACTTCATTACCATCAGAAACACCCTGAAATGTACATATTCACAGGAGAAAAGCAGCAAGACGCAGGGGAAGGGGTGCTCTAAGGAAAAGAGGCCCCCAGAGGTGGGGGGGCGAGGGGCAGGAGGAGCAGGGCCAAGGTAGCGGATCCGGCTCAGCCCGCCCTCCAGGCTCTGCTGCTGCTGCTGCTGCTGCTACTACCCAACTTCAACAATAGCGGGAGCCGCCTGCCCACCGGCCACCACCGCTGCCCAGCGGCTGGGATGCCAGCCAGCCGCGCCAGGGCGGGGGCTGCCGCGGGCTGAGCTGGGTGGCACATGCCCAGCAGCCCGCGGAGAGAAGTCTCAAGACCACAAACGCACGATGCCCAGGCGGGCGGGCGGTGCACACGCACGCCATGCCTCCCGCCCGTCTCTGGCAGGGCCGCGGGCTCACCCCCAGCTTTCGGCTCTTCATCTTCACATAGCCCTGCTTGACGATGTCGTTGAAATTGGTCGCCATGGCTGTCCCGCCGTCTCCGGGGAGCTAGGCCGGTCGAGACAGGGGAGGGACGCCCAGGTGGCCTGGGTCTGGACTCCTCCGATCACCTGGGTCACCTGTTCGGAGGAGCCGCGTGGCGTCCGTCTGTCGTCGGGCCGCTCCTCACCTCGCCCGCGTCAGCATTGTTCTAGCAGCTCCTGTGCCCGGCGCCTGCTGCAAACGCAGATGACAGCGAGATCAGAGACAGTGACATCTCTCTCCCCTGGCTGTCTCGCTCGCTCTCTTTTTTCCTTCCTCTTCCCACACTCCTCCCTCCCTCCCTCCGCCCTTCTTCCTTCCCTTCCCTCCCCACCCCAGGGCGACAGAACCATTCAGGAAAACCGAGGTGGAGGCAGCACGAGAAAATGGTCCAGCCCAGTCCCTCCCTCGCGCGGGGCTGGCGGTTAACCCCTTCCTGGGCGGGCTGGCTCCTGCTCCCACCGAGGAGGAGGGTGGAGGAAGGGTGGCCACGAGCTCCCCCCAACAGGGGCTGGGACCCAGAGCTGGGTCCCTCCGTCCCCACAGCTCTCCGGCCACTGGCCCTCTCCCTGTTACAACTTTGGGGCAGACTTGGGGCAACTTGCCAGAACAAACCCCTTCCCCGGGCAGCTGAGCCCCAGGGACCGGGCGGTAGTCCTAGGACAGGGCCCAGGGCCTGCCGGCTGAGCAAAGCCCACACCCCGCTCCCTGGGGTTAAAGACAAGGGTCCTCGCAAACTCCAACCCCTGCCCCACCCATCCTCTACCTGACTCTCTCCAGCCGGGAGGAAAGCTGGGGAGCACCACCCAGGCCCCTCAGGCCGGCTCCAGGCCCCTGGACTTAGCGCTCCTCTGGGTCCTGCTTCCTGGGTAGGAGGGCAGAGTTCAATGGGGCGGGCCCCCAGATAAGCCTGAGGAATGTGCCTGCTGGCTGGAGGTGGCCGCTGTGGGAGTAGATGTCTCACCCTGACCCTGAAACTGGGAAAACTGGGCCAATCTGTGAGGGTGGGGACTGGGCCCCAACAGGCCACTGGGTCTGGTGGGGCCAAACAGTGCCTCCATGTTCTGAGCATGGACAGGAGTTAATTTCAGGGAGACCAGCCTGGGTGCAGGGCAGAAGATAAGAGTCCAGCGGATGCAGAAGCGAGTGTGGGCACCAAGCTGAGCTCAATATGGGACTGGAAACGAGGGTACCAGCAGGGTCACTTCAAATCAGGCAGATCAGTAGTAGGTAACACAGACTCAGGGGGATCTTAGCAATGACTAACAGCCTCATTTTACATATGGGAAAGAAACTTATCCAGAGAGGGTGAGCCATAGGACTAAGGTCACACAGTAAACCCAAGGAGTAGCCAGAATTGAATGAGAAGTTTCAGGATGGGAGATGAAGGCCAGCCTGGGGACAGATTACTGTCCTCTGGACAACTCGGCCTGCCTGCTAGCACCTAAGCCTTCTTGGCCACGGAGCCTCAGGGACAGGGCTTGGCCAACCACGCGGCTTCCCGTGTCTCCAGCATTGCTAGGTGGAGGTGCAGTAGCATTTGGGGGATCCGCTTGGCCTCTGCCTGGATGGGACCCTGGGGCAAGCATGCTGCTGGACCTGCGGCCACCAGGCCTTAATCAGTCTCCTGGAGGCCAATCTGTTGAGTCCCTAACAGGGAACAGATGGGACACCACAGTGAGTACACACAAACCAGGGGAGGGCCAGAGGGGCAGTGATCCCCTGTTCCATGTGCCACTGTCAGCGGCCCTCCTGTTCATTCAATTTGTCTGTCCTTCCCAAACCCAAGTCTTCCACTTTGCTCTTGGAAGGTCTGGTCCCCACTGGCCGTGCCCAACCTGGGCTCCGGCAGTCAGAGAGAGGTCGGTTTTCCCAGCTCTGTCCCCACTGCCTGCCTCCTGGGCTGCCTTGTCACCAGAGCAAGCGCTGGCTCCCTGGAGCTCCCAAGAGGACTAGCAGGCTGGACACCGCTGTGGTCCGGCGCCGAAGGCCCCTTCCCAAACCCATCTATGAGAAGCCTGGGGGCCAACGTCCTGGCATCTGACTCCGGCCCCCAGTCACAGCAGCTCCTGGCCACACTCAGTCCCTCATGAGTTTGCAAAAGCAAGCCCCCACCTGTGACCCAAAATGGTATGGTACAGGGATGGGGAATGGCCAACAGGTGGACTCACAAATGTGACAGGCAATAAGGTCAAGGGGGGGACCTAGACCCACCCATTCCCTAGAGGGCCTGAACTTGGTGAGCAGGAAAGTGCCCCCACGCTGACCCTGTGAGCCGAGAGAGCATCCCAAGGCAGAGGGATGCAGAGGGCCCCTGCCCTGCCCAACCGTGGAGCCGCTGAGCCTCCAGCAACCTCCCAAGTCTGCAGCAGGGGACTGCCCACTACTGCAAGAGGATGTGAGGTCCTGGGCACTGGACCAGAGACCTGGAAGCTCTGATCACCTAGAAGAGCTAAGTAGTGTCCAGCAGCCCCCTTCACAGTGCTGGTGGGGGCCCCAGCCCCGTCCCAACCTCACATTAACGTGGCAGCTCCACCCCAGACAGGCCCCCACAGCTTTTCAGAAAGAGCCAGGTACGGTCCCTCTGGTCCCTCTGCTCCCTGGGCAGGCAGGTCCCTGCCCACCTGCCCCATGGGCAGCCACTCTGAGCACTCCCTCCCTGGATTCTGCCTGGAGGCTTTGGCTCCAGAACAAACGCTACTCGCTGAAGCTGGCAACCAATGACAGAGCAGGAGCAGATGCCCGCCTGGCTGGGCCTCTCCACCCGCCAGACAGATGGGATCTTATCAGAGCTTCAGGGACAGCCCTACCTGGACACCATCTCGCTGTCTGCCTGCCTCCACCCCACAGCAAAGATCCTATCAGAGGGCGGATTCTCTCCAGCACCAGGGACACTTCCCATTACCTGCTCGCCTGGCTCCTCATCCCCAGTGCTATTGTTACCAGGGCCCAGGGTATGGAGCCACCACCAAAGCACTGCAGGTCCCATCCTAGGTGACATAGACACCAAATACCTAACTGGGCAAAGGGACATGTGAACAGCCATAGTATCCAGATCCCGAGCCCAGGAAAGTGGTGCTATGTCCCTGCCATCTATCCTCTTCCAGTGTCCTACCACCCCTCAGCACGCCAAACTCCTTTCCACACAGGCCCACTGTACCTGCTGTTCCCTGCCTGTGACACTGTTCCCTCACAAGTTCTCAAGGTTCATTCCACTGCTTCATTCAGACTTCAGCTCAAAGGTCACTTCCTCCAGGAGGCCTTTCCTGACCACCCTAGCCAGAGGAGCCCTGCTAGTCAGCTCTCTCACGACATCCAGTGTCACTGTGGGATTTTCTTGTTCCTTCATCTGTCTACTCCTCAGCCACAGAAAGACATCTAGGTTGGCAGCTCCCTGATGGACAGGCCTCTTCTGTCTAGTCAGAGCTCCAGCCCGGCTCCGAGGACACTGCTGAGTGCTGAGAGAGGTGCTCAATATTTGGGGACTGAACAAACATTTCTCTCTAGGTTTTTCTTCCTCATCCTTCCACCACCACACATCTGGCTGCCAGCTCAGTTCCAAAAGCATGAGTGCCCTGAGGCCCAGTGCTGACCCTCGTGGGCAGCAGAGTTGTTAGAGGAGAGCCAGCAGGACTCAGGACCCAGTTTGGTTCAAAGCTGCCTCAGGGGACAGTGTGCTGCTGACGCTGTGTCCAGGTTTCACTGGGTGGCCCCACCTTGGCTGGGGTTGTTAGGTGAGGTCATGCCCAGCCTGATGCCTTCCGGGGAGTAACCAGCACCCAGGCATAGAAAGGAGCACTTGGTGAGAGAGCTTACAGCTTCTGGGACCCACCCCAGATGGGGGGCAGGAACTGCCTGTCCTGGACCCAATTCCCTTGAAAGGGGTCACCTGAAGCCTGGTCCCTAACTGCTATTAGTGGAGTGTTCTAGAGTAGACTCTGGCCCCTGCTCAGCACTATCAGACCTCACCCAGCCTGAGCCCTCCACTCAGGTGCCCTGGCAACTGTCCTGCCCTGAACTATGAGGGCACCACATAGTAGAATGAGGGGCTCAACCTCAGCTCATGCCCCTTTGCCATGACAGAAAGCATTTAACTGGAACCAAGGCCCTGGGGGAGAAGGCCCCAGGATGTCAGGGGAGAAAGGGTCAAGGGCAGCAGGCAGTTGGCCATGAGTGAAAGCAACGGTAGGCACCCCATCTTCAGGTGAGGGTGGGCAGCGGGGCCAGTGCGGGTGGAGCCACAGTCTCTTGGAATTGGGAG